AAAACACAACCAAGACAAGTTACTTTGCACAGACCAAAGGTTGGTTTTATGTTATTGGATATGGTAACATGAGTGCACGTGTCCTCGTCATTGTAACTACTGTATTGTTAGCCAGGCATGGTCAATATAATAAAAAATAATAAATATATAATGTTATGAGATTTAAGCTATTTCATCTAAACATTTATGTTTTCGTGTTATAATCTGTGTTCATTCTAGAATGAAAAAAGGCATAATTTATATTTATTTCCTAATTTTTTATGGTGATTACGAGATTGGTCCAATTTACCAAACCCGTACAGATATTCATTACTGAATATAACAGATAAAATATAAAGTTTTTTCTTAAGAAATGTTTGATAACTACCTGGACATTATAAAGGTTTTGCATGTGAAATTTCAAAATTTTCTGATGCATAAAAGTATTTTTTTCTCAAAATGAAATATTAGCATGCATGTTGGATAGGCAACATGTGAAAAGAAAAATGCATAAGAAAAACATTGTTTAACAAACCTGATATTTTGCATATGAAAGCATTGTAATGTTTACTGATAATGTGCCAAATCTCGTTAACATTTGCTTACTAATTTAAAAGTTATAGCATGAAAACTATAAGCACAAAATGGTTACGAGTTCGATTCTACTGACCGAGCCAGTGCTGAAAGAAACTATTTAGGATAAACAAATTTGGTTTCATGTTAACAATTTACAGTTACTCCAGAAAGAAAAGAAAAGTTAATTTAGATTTATGGTGGTTATGAGGTCAGCCAAATTGACAGAATGAATATAGTTAGAGTAGAAAAAATAACAGATAAAATATATATATCTTTACTGGAAGAAAACATTTGATATTTATTTAGGAGGTTTTAAAGATTACGTAAATGAAACATGGAAATCACTTTGCACTCGGAGCAGTCAATGCTTTGACACCGTATAATTATGGACAAAGTTTACGGAAAAATACTTACTTAAAAACAACTGATTTTTTTGTATACTTACTGAAAGTTTGACAAATTTTGTGAAGATACACTTAGTGTATTAAAAGTTATAATATAGAAGCCGATAGTTACTTTGTGGTTACAAACTCGGTCACTTTGACCGAGCCTATAGTGAGACAGTTAAAGCCAACAGGATAAAGCAGTAATGATGCAAATGGTAAGTACTTGTATATTATGCATTTACTCTAAATTGATTGTGTTTTGTAATAAAAATATATTTTGTATTATGTGCAAAAAAAAAAAGTCTTTGAATTGTTTAAAAGTTTCAGGTTATGAGATTGGCATTCCCTTGAAATCAGCACTAATTAATCATGTGCTTTATTTAAAGGCTATAGAGGAAGGTACCAGAGGGTCAGCATTGGGAAATCACCAAGTTAGTGAGTGTACACCACCAGACGAGCGAAGCCTTGCAATAGGAGACGATTACCGGCCCATAACCCCTAGCCCTGGAAGTGTGACAGCCGATTCGGAAGACCATCTGAGTAGAGACAGTCGGGCTAGTTATAGCCAGAGCCAAAGAACTAGTGGAAGCATTATAGTCAACCTTGCTTCATCTGAAGATATTACTCTGGAACCTGATGGTCAGCGGGTCACTTACAGTCATAGCTCTTACAGCACTACAGTGTGACGTATTTCTGTGTTTATTACCGACTTAACGTGGACGGTATTTTCCGGCCGAGGGGGTGCCCATCGTGTCGTTTCTCACATACGTAGACTCGCTGTGCATGCAAGTCATTTTGCCATTCCTGTTGCGGTGTTACTAGTAGCAAGGCGACTTCTGGCTTGTGTATAATATCATTCAGTGACAATTGTCCAATTTAAACATTTGTGAGAACCAGCATGCAATAAGAATAAAAAGGCTAGGCCTAGTTATTTTGTTTAATTTTTGACAATGGTATAGGCAGCTGACCCTTTGTTTTTTAACTAATATTTGAATGTGCAGATTTTGTTTGTTTTTTAGTCATCATGGGGATTAATGTTTCTTTTTAAGTTACAGGAATTTTGATGATTTAAGATATATATATATATATACTATGGGGGTTATAGCATAATAACAATTGACTGTTTTAACAAATTTTGGTAAGGATTCTGTAAGCCTGTTGCAGAACTTTTTATAACCACTTCTGACTTTTAAAAAAGTTATTATACATAAGTTAGTACTCACTCACTTGTAGTTCAGCCAACTAGTTTTGTATAAATTTAAAACTGGCCAGTTTTCAGAACAGTGGCTGCAGGTCGTCAACACAAATACCAAACGTCAGCTTACACTAAAAGTAAGTTTAGCCAGATGAAGAACAAATTTTTTATAACATGAAAAAAGGCCCATTGTAACAGAATTTAATCAAGACTTCAATCTGCTGAAAACCATATGTAAAATTATAACTACTTGAGGTATTTGAAGACTTGTTTAAAATATTTTTAATTTAACACCCAGTCTACACGTGTATTTTTAATTTAACACCCAGTCTACACGTGTATTTGGTGGGTCGATTTCCAAACAAAACTTTCCACTAATTTTTTTTTTTTTTATTAATAGAGATTGGAACTCCTTGCAATATATGGTTTCTGAATTGTCCACCAGTGTGGCCAACTTTCCAGTACTTTCCAGGTTCTGGGGAAAAAATCTTAAATTCATTTAAACTTCTACACAACACCCAGTAGTGATTGCATAATACAAGATTTGGTTTTTCAACTGTATAAAGCTATTTTGATTTTTTTTTCGATAGAGGTGGTCGAGAAAGGCTTCACAAATCTTACTTATCACTGTAAGATGACTTAAGTGCAGTACCTGTATAAACATGAACTGGTGGACACAGCCCAATGTGGCTTTGTTCTAAAGAAAACAAACACTAAACATGAACACCTTTTGTCTAAGGGGGAACTAAGACCAAGCCAACTGCATCTTTAGGGCCAAACACAATCAATAGGCGAGTTTTTTGAGGTTAAAAAATTGAACATTTTATCAGAGTACTTATTTTATTGTTCCAACTGAAAAGCATCGCATCCACCGTAGCCTACCCAATCCTCCGATTTCAATCTCATCAACTCGTAGACTGGGTGTTAAACAAAAACGTTTTTTTACTTTACAGTTTAAAGTATCATTTGTTCTAATTATTACTTGGATTTCATTTTCTGACCAATTTGTTTGCAAAAGTACAAGTCCTACCAGTGTGGAAAGGTCGAACCTCACACAACACACAGATATCATAATACAGGTTAAATCTGGAGCTTGGAATCACGTGTTGCTTTTAAATTTATCTAAAGAGTTTGTGTGATAAAATTATTAAATAACTGACTGGACTTTCTCCACTTTTGAATATACATGGATATATATATTCACGAACATTCACCTGTCAAAGACTCCATTATTGTAGCCGAAAGTTTGTGAAATAATAAAAGATAAATAACTTTACACTTGGCTCTTTCTTAGGGCTCTGGATTTCAGAGTTAATGAATGGTGCTCAAGTTTGTGTGATGGCACAGTATTCCCCATGCTTTAAGCCGTGAGTGCGTTATAAGGGTGACAGTTAATCCGTTAGTGTGTGGTAGGATGCTGGCAGCAGATAACCTTAGTAGCTTTGCCATAAATACAAATAGAGAAGGTTCATCAAGTAACTTATTCAATACAAATAATAAAACTTGCATTATTCACATGTAAGTGCTTTAAATAACAGATTCAGGGATGCGATTTTCATAAAATTGGAAGAATAAGTATAAAACTGTAAACACAGCTACATTGGATGTCATATTATTTTCATGTGTACAATCAAAGCCCAGCTCTTTAAGGGATGATCTCACAATCTTTAATATATTTATTGTTTCACGTGTATAAAAGTCCAGTCATTTCAAATTAAGGAAGAACCATGGAACAAACTGATAACCTAACTGCTTTTGTAAAATAGCCAATCCACCCCTGGATAGGCAGTGCTTACTTGTTGGGATACTCGAGTTATGGGTGATGTGATTTCCTTGTATCATAGTAAAATGTTTTCCACTAACTAGAGATTAGTTACTCTGTATTATTAACGTCAAATGTAAAGATAACAAACTGATAACCTAACTGCTTTTGTAAAATAGCCAATCCACCCCTGGATAGGCAGTGCTTACTTGTTGGGATACTCGAGTTATGGGTGATGTGATTTCCTTGTATCATAGTAAAATGTTTTCCACTAACTAGAGATTAGTTACTCTGTATTATTAACCTCAAAGGTAAAGAAAAGAATTAACTTTAATTTCCGAAGTAGAACTAAATTAAAACTGACTATTGAAAGGAATTAATCACGAGAAAGGTAAACAATTATACTAATAGTTCTCAAATCGAATGGATGTTACCGATACTTAAAAAAAAACCTTGTCAACTTGTAGTTAATTAGACAATAAATGTTTCACTCTTGACGGAGTACATGTTAGTGAAATGTGGCTACTTTGATGTAGGCTGACCTGCACTTCACACAGAATGTAATCAACGTTATACCTATATTGTTTTATTTTTTTTTAACTTTGTCAGTTAAATTTACACTGCTACTGTTTTTTATATTAATGAAATCCCTTGAATGTAATGTTGAATATAAAAAATACGTCATCGGTACAGCTTTGTATTAATGTACTTTTTTTACATTTGATTGGTGTATTTGAGACCACTCATAAATTAAAACTACTTGGTTTTGTTTTGCAGAGAGCTTTACACGTTATCCGTGTGGTAACTGAATTGTATATTAACCAATTTTCCGTTTTGTTTTTGTAATTATTGGTTGTCCTAACATAACATGATTTGTACTGGTTATTTATTTAGGCTAAACAACTCTCATGTTACACCTGTATCTGTGGTTTATAGCTTGATAGAAACTATCGTGTGTACATCTTTTATTAAAGCTCATTCTACTACTGTGAAAGGAATACCATTAATTGCACTGTTTGCTCATATTCTTGTATACAGTAATTATTGACATAACCCATATTAATTTCAGAAACAAAATGCAAATATATAAATATATATATATAAAGCTATGATTTTATCCTATAGCTAGATAAATATGAATAGCTTTAAAACTTGAGAATGTTATATTTCTCATTGACTGTGTGTGTGTGTGTGTTTGGTTATAAGTACTAGTTAGAAAACTGTTTTATTTACTAATGTAGTGAAATATCTTAGCATAACATCATTCAGGTATTAAAGATTTATTTTCATTGTTTTGTAAGTTGTTTACGGGGGTTTTCTTTGTACAAGTTAGTAAGAAAACACATTATTGAAAGGTTCTGCCTGATGAAGATGTTTAAAAGTTATTTGTAATAGAACATGGAATTAGAAATAAGAGTGGTTGTTCAGTTTAATTGTTTTTTATGAGAGAATTAGCTAGCAAATGTCTGCCTCTTTTGTAAATGGTTTCAAATATAAAATAGTTTATCTAGTTTGATGTATATCATCAACATTTAAAGCTAATGTTAAAGTAGGCTTAAATAAAAACATGTTAGGAAGTGATCATTTGTATTTTGCTTTGAGTTACGTTTATAGCACAACATTTGTTTATATATATATATATATATATAAAATAAATCAAAACCTGAAAGAACAATCATAGTTAACTGTCAATTTTATTCCAATAATTTGTCAGACCTGTGTTTTTAGAACTTATGGTGTATCTACTTTTGTTTGCATTATCTTTAAGGATATATATATATAGTCTTAATTTATATACAAGCCTAAACTCTTGAACTACGAGGATAATCTTGTGTCAAGTGGAATTTAGAAGCATGTTTCTTAGATTTGAATAATGAAGTTTTAGTAATTATATTTCAATTGAAAGTTTGTTAGTATGACACACATTTTTATATATTTATTTTAAAATAATAATTTGTTAACCTGTAGACAACATCACACAATTCTTTTTTTAGTGTATTAGGGAAAGAAGTGTGATACTGTTCATCTCAAGGCATTGACGGTTCAGAATAAGATTACAGTTCGTAATAAATATGGGCTTGTAAATTGATAATGTTTCAAGTTTAGCCTATCAATGTATTTTCTCAGCTAGTCTCGAAATGTGTTGATTATTGTATTTTTTGCGTTAAGTACCACGTTCACGTCGTCATAAATCAAAGGTTATACATCAAGCTTAAACTATTTAACTTTTATTTACACATTGAGATGTTTTCTGCACACTGTTAAGTGTATTAGACTTAATATTCTAAAACACTTGCTCTGATTATCAACTATTGGAAGGAATAAGTATGCAGAATATTTTTTGTTACTGTTGTAAGGTAAAATTCTGTGTTTTCAAGTATGTTATTTCACAAAGTCTGGCATAAATTCAGTGTTTAGCCTAGTCAAACACCCCTGAACTATTTCTCGATAAGTGGCTTAAGACTTTGCACACGACGCTTGATGAAATGAATCTATTAAGTTGTAATAAAGAAACACTCAGATTTTAAATCTATCAGTTTGACATAAAGCAGGCAGGATCTTGAGATAAACTAATCACCTAGGTTATGTATAAAGTGACAACGTGAATAAAAAAAGTTCTGAAAGTATTTTCATTTTACCTGCTATATTTTTTTATTGACTTTTTCTGTTTTTCAGTGCAAAAGAAGTAACAAGTGCAGTGAAAAAATAAGGAAGGAATTTAAAATCATACTTTTACCATCAGTATCGTGTAACATTAATACAAATTTAAACATAATCACTTAGTGAATGTTTGCACAGCTATTTATGTGATAATTTTGTAGCCTATGTTGTCCAATATTGATGTGTTGGTCGGAAACACGAGGTACGAGTGCACTTGCTGCTAACTTGATACAATGTGTTACGTCTCTGTTCGTTTGTTAATTTCCGGTAAAAATTCTTTCCGTGTGACTTCAGCGATACAAGTCCCTTCTTGATTAAAACTAGTTTATTCTTTCTTGTTACAAACTTTGTAATACACTTAACAAATTTTATAATACACGCAATAAATCACAGTGATTCACACTTTATTTACGGTGTCTACTATTCGCTTGACTCAATGATTTATATCTGCATATCTATCTTTCGCTGGCTTACTAAAAAAAGAGGGCGTCTAGCAAACACTGGGACATTCGCGAGGTTCCCCGATAAAACACGATCCTTCTGGAAACTAGCGCGCATGCTCCCAGCGTTGCGTGACTTCCGCTGTTGTAACAAATGCATGTTAAAACTTTGTCTTTAAAAGTTTACAGAATGATAAAAATAGAAAAGAAGGTTTCACTTTCTTTACGTTCAGACAAATTATAAGGAAGGTTAGGTCATTTTAAGTTCAATCTTATCTTAATGAAAGTATATGAAATTTATGCTAAAATAAAAACATAAATAGCTAGAGAGAGAGGTTTTAGACTTTAGAGAAAGCTGTATTTGTAATAAGTTTAATTAAACAAATGTTAATCAGCTTTTTTTCAAACATTATGATTCTTAATTGTTATGTAAATAATTATTTTGTTCTCCGAGATAGTAAGATGAACAACTTTTTAACTATTTTCCTCTGGCACCGAATATAGGCCTTATTATATTCCTTTAAGTTTGAGGATATATTGTTCTTTCTCTTGAAGTTGTAATGCGACACCCTACGACCATGCGTAATACCAGATGTCTGTGAACACCGGTATCAGTTTAATATCATCTTGACATTGAATATCGTGGTAATATTGTCAGTTATTTGTTTGGCTAATATAATCAATGACCGTAGAGGTTGTCCAATAGCTCATTTAGTTCTTATTCAAACATTGGAGCTGCTAGCTTTGTTGATAATAAGCAGCAGTCCTAGATATTGTGCTTAAATACATGGATACGTAATACAACACTGTACGTTAAAAAAAGACTGTTCTTCATTGAAAGTTTTGTCTGTATTCAAAATGAAGGTCCATTGGTGTTAATGTATTGCATATCTGGATACGTAATACAACACTGTACATTAAAAAAAGACTGTTCTTCATTGAAAGTTTTGTCTGTATTCAAAATGAAGGTCCATTGGTATTAATGTATTGCATATCTGGATACGAACTCATTGTCCATTGTTTGTCAAAATTAAGGTCCATTGGTATTAATGTATTGCATATCTGGATACGAACTCATTGACCATTGTTTGTCAAAATTAAGGTCCATTGGTATTACTGTATTGCATATCTGGATACGAACTCATTGACCATTGTTTGTCAAAATGAAGGTCCATTGGTTTTAATGTATTCCATATCTGGATACGAACTCATTGACCATTGTTTGGCTAGTATTTTAGCTTTTGGTTCGACGAGACATTTATTTCCATCATTTCATTGTGGATGAATCTCAGCAAGTATACTGTTCTACATGATACCCTACTGTCCGTGTATACCTTCTCATATCAACAACATCTAATCATGTGATATATATTCCCTCCAATCTTCATAACACCAGTATCAACTGTAAGAAGAATATGAATTTCCCTTTGTTTGGAGTAGACTTGGTGGTGCCAACTGTTTCTGCTACTTAGTCTTTGGTATTTTTCCATTTCAGCAACAAGAAACTGTTCTTGAATATTTGCACGGCTTCTTTCAAGAAAGGTACCTTATTGAGCTTTGTGTGACAGTGAATCTTATATAACTGGTACGTTCCTTTCTGATAGTCTCATGAATTTAATGAAGTTCACTTTCAAGAAAATGTACTTTGTTGAGCTTTGTGTAACAGTGAATCTTATATAACTGATATGTTCCTTCTTTCTGGTAGTCTCATGAATTTACTGAAGTTCACATTTTCTCTCAATCCTGTAATTTTATAAACATGGCATCTACTGATATTTGTAGTTGAGGTCAGGTATTATCAATGGTGTCAGGGATCAAAATATTACATTCCCGAGGAATTTCATCATCTTAGTTGGCTTCCCGATCAGGAATGCGTGGTCCATCTGTATTTCTTTAGTTGTGACCAATGAAAGCAAACATGTTACGTGGATTAAATAATAAACAATTCGTGAAAAAATGCAACTTTACACGATGGAATGTAATCTTCCTGATAGCTTTTCCTCAATTGAATGTAATTTTATTTCATTATTTCTGTCCCTGGATGTTGAAGTAAAATCTTAAAAACATTGATAGCACTTCAGTCCACCATAGCTTATGTGATTTAGTCAACTTCTTGTGAAGTAAAAGTTGTGTCAGAACATTTACTTCCCAAAATACCAATAACATTAAATATCTACTTCCTAATGTTGAAATGTTTTAACTTTTACTGGATCTATACACTCCAGTAACGATAAATCAGAGAAAACGTACACTGCAGTGGGATAGGTATTTGTGATTCCTTTCAAATTCTTTCTGCAGTCCATTGTAAACATTACTTTGTCTTTACATAGATTTTCAAATCAACAAGATAGATTTAGAAAGTGTTCTTTAATAATCCATTTAGAATATGCTCCACTAGTAGTTCCAAAGATGCTGGTGCATTGCACATTTTAATTCATGGAACGGCAGGTTCCATGCATCCCTTGGAACTACTTTCTCTCTGACCATATCTCCATATTATTGTCAACTTCCATATTTCCATTTGTAACAATTTCTTGTGAAAGGTGGTGAGGTCGAAATCGGACCACACATCTTGAAAAACTTTCCATTGTTCATGGATGTTGGTTCCCAAAGCCACAAATTCACTAGACCTGCATTAAGGGACTTGACAGTAATGTGATTCCACCCATCTCATGAGATTTAGTTGGAAGCTGTGAATCTTCATAAACTTTAAACTCTTGTTTATTATTCTGTTAATGGTACAATATTATATGTCTTGGATATTTAAATAGATTTTGTGGGCCGGAAGGTTCTCATTCATAACTATAACTTCGCTTTGTTTCAGATTAGGTTTCTACTTCTACACTTCCATGTAGGATGTTGTTGGCTCTTCTATACTTCCATGGACGATATTGTTGGCTCTTCTACACTACCATGGAGGATATTGTTGGCTCTCCTTTCCAAAGGTGCTCCTTGGTTATACTTTGTTTAAAAATCTTGGTATACAAATATTTTTCCTTAAAAAGAGCTTTTACATAATCCATCTATCCAAATTCAACATGAGCCAATTATATAGACACCAGTAAAGTTGCCAACACACATCACTGGATTAGCATATTCAAAGTCTTGAAATTAACCCTATATACCAATCCAGGTTTGGAAACAAGTGAAACCAGACAAAAGCATTACCAACAGTATCATTCTAATTGCTTGAAAGGTTGAGGAGGGCTTTTCTGACTATGTAGTACTTTCAAATACACACGAAGGTTCCGTGCAACCTGTAGGTAATATGTGGTGTAGCCAAGGTTGAGGAGGACTTTTCTGACTATGTAGTACTTTCAAACACACACGAAGGTTCCGTGCAACCTGTAGGTAATATGTGGTGTAGCCTTTGGTCAGTGTTTCCGTTTCATGTTCTAGACTTTTCTTACTTTTTTGTTGTTGTTGTTTCATTCTCTTCTAAATTTTTATGTCATTGTTGAAACATGAAAAAAAAACTTAACTTTTTAACTGCCACTGTACAGTATTTAGACAACCTTATCTTTATAAATAAGCATTAATAACTCATAAACTCAAATCCTTTATCATGACATCTGTTACACCTTATCAAACAAAGTTGTGTTTTTTTTTATCAACTTATGATTTATTATAAAAATCACAACGTAACAGTTTACACGCCGTTAAGTATGCGTTGCGCAACGGCCGATTTTCTACTCCAGTCAGTTGAGACAAGTTCAAATAGCATACGCTAGGCCACTTTGTTGTAAAAGTGTAAGGAATGGTGAAATAAAAATGTTTTTGAAGTATTAGAAGCGATATAAATATATAGTATTTATCTCATTTTATTTTATACTTAAAATTATTTATGGTTAACACATACAGTATATAACATGTTCAAAAACACGTAACGAACTTGTGTTTAGAACGAGGTGTTGTCGTCCATTTTGAGTAAAGTATGAAACAATAAACTGTAAAAAGAATTACTTCATAATTATAGTATTTTGGCACTTGTATATAAAGTTAAAAATCATAAATAATATTCAACG